TCGGGTTTATTTAGTGGGCCTAGTTTTTGTGGACTTTCAACACATTTTGGTCCAAATGCAATATTTTGATAGACATTTTGTGACAATCTAAAGTGTGCGCATATGATTCTCTAAGCGTACTTAATAATCCATATAGGATATGGAGGATTCAACTAAATTGGTTTTATTAGAAACACTAAACGATTTAACCGTAATTATGTTTCTTAAGATTTTGATTTTTCAATCAAATTTCTATTTTTGTTATTCTGGTCATTGAAAATACGAAATGCTCACCAACGTTTTTGTTATTCTGGTCATTGAAAAATGTTTCATCCATTGTATCAAGATAAAATAAAAAAAAAATTGAGTTTTCGATAAACAAGAATGTAATTGACCCGAATGAGATTGACAATGAGGCCTGAGACCAAGAAGAGGACACCAACAGGGACAAAGACAAAAGCCGCATGAATCGCCAGGTCTGAAAGCTTAATAATCGTTATCAATTAACGTTGCCAAAAATCAATTTGGTAAAAACAAAAATTAATAATCGTTAACCTTATTTTTAATTTTAATATATGGTCATCATGGAATTTATGCAGTAATTAATTTGAATCCAAAGGATGTGGATTAAACCGGCGGAGGAGCTTTGAGCAGACCGGGAAACCCTCCAGGATTACACCTGACCCGATGCAAGTGGTTCCTTCGTAGAATGCTGCAAACTCTCCTGAAGCTAGACCTTGATCGTCTTCGCCTAGGTGTACAACTGCAACATCTCCTTCTGATTCCATTTCAATGCCGGACCCTATAAAATCCGCTCTCAAGTAACCATTGTCCGTAGAAAGAAGTTGATCCATATTCCTTACCTTGCAACGGAGCTTGCTGACATTGCCTGAAGGTTTCCCACTAAGCCATCTTAACGAGCCAACACAAAAAAATCCGCCTCCTCTTGTCGATTGAGTAGTAATTTCTTGAGACAAACACTACATTGTTCTTGGTGTTCTTTTCAACAACATAACTGCAGACATATYAGGGGTGCATGATATTTATTACAGAAGAGTTCTACCTAATAGAAAAGATCATTTCCAACACTTGGCCAATTCCTCAAAATACTTCTTGGCTTATAAGAAGAGATCATGGCTACATGATTTTCTAAACATACTTAATCCATATATAGAATATGAAGGAGATTTCAAGTAATTTGGTTCTATTAG